CTGTATAAGAAGAAAAATAAAGCAAGCAAGCAGTCCTGTAAGAATTCATTTCTCTCTACTCTTGACCGTGGATGTGATGTGACTAGCCGCTTCCAGCTCCAGCCACTGTAACTTTTCTGCTATGATGGATTGTAACTTGCAATTGAAAGCCAAATAAACCTGTTTCTCTTTTAAGTTGCTTTTTGTTAGTAGTTTTTATTATAGCAACAGAAATGAAACTAGAACAAGCTCTCTTCAGGTCTAATGAAGACAAAATCCCAGAAATGCCTGACATTTTGAAGTAGTAGCCACAAAGAATTCAGTGCTGAAATGGGCAAGTTTGGCTACCTAAAGAACTCTTATGGTCTATGGGTATCTCAGCCATAGAAATGAGTATCAGAAACATTTCTTTCATCTTCCAACTTACCTGGAAGGCCATAGCAGCAGCTATAGAGGCACAACAAACAACTTCAACTCCCTATCTAACAGGAGTAGTTCTCCAAAATTAAAGGACCTTCAACATTCTTACCAGAGAAGCAGGAGGCCTCTATGCCCTCCTCTTCTCAGTGAAACCTGCTGCTTCTGGGTCAATATTTCAGGAGAAGCAGAGGAAAATCTCTCAAAAATCAGAGAAAACATGAAAATACTCAGATGTAAATAAAAATTTATTACAGCCTTCTTGGTTGGGATAGTTCCTAGGCAGCTTTCCCGATGGATATGAACTCTCTTAACTCCTTTTGCCCATTTCTTGTTTTTAATTCTGTTCTGTCTTCTGCCCCTGTTTTCCTAACCTTCTAGTACAATTAGTGTATTCCAGATTACAGGCCTTTAAGTTCCAGATGGAATTGTCTTAGGGGTATTAACCATTTCTGTTGACACCAATACCTGTCTCTAACCACCTAGAAACTCTGAATGTCCAAATGATGCCAATTTGGCTTCAGTCTCTTATGATAACAACTTCTTTACCTGTCCAACATGGGGCTCAAGCCTTTTACTAAGACTTTTGGTTAAATAACCCTATTGCAGGTCAATAACATCAACCAGGGTCCCTTCTCAACCGTTCACAGTTCTGAAACAGAGCCAGAGAAAAAGTATCTATCATTTTTTAATGTCTGCCCTTCTTATCTGCCAAGGTAGAAATGTAAGGGGAAAAGAGTGAAAAATAAAGCAAATATCCCCACATTTAATCAATCCCTGAGTTTTTCAGCCTTACCCTGTGACTTGTGATGCTTAACATACATACTTAAAACAGAAATCTTAATGAACCCTGGAGCCTGACCCCAAATGACCAGGCTCAGGAAGAACACAGGCTTCTACAAAACCTAATACTTAACAAGACAGTGAGAAATCTACTTCTTTTTTTATTTTGATGATTTAATTTAACCCCAATTATCTAAAACTTAGCATTTTATTATGCAACCGTATAAAAAAATCACCAATGAATCATTTTACCTTCTTTTTATACCATTTTAAGTTTTTAAGAAGTTTTTTGAATTTTTTTTACTTTTAAAGAATTTTTTAATATTCCATGACCATTTCATACATGTATATAATGAATTTCAGTCATTCTTAAGCCTGATTACCCTCTCTCATCTATCCTGCCTCATCTCCTGCCTTTTCTCTCTGAAACTTTTCCTGACAAGACCCCTTCCTACTTTCATATCCTTTGGGTGGGTGGGGAGAGAGAGAGAATGAGAGAGAGAGAGAGAGAGAGAGAGAGAGAGAGAGAGAGAGATTGAGTTTCAATTGGGTTGTATGTTTGAGCATGGATTGAATGTTATTTACTGGAGTATGGGCAACTTATCAGTAGTTCTACCACTGAAGAATGTGACATCCCTTCCCCAGCTGCCATTGACTGTCAATGTCCCTCAGAAAGGAGTGGAGCATCGTGAGCCCTGTGCTTGCTGAAATGTTGACAGGCACAATCTTGTGTAGGTCTTGTGCAGGTAACCACAGATGAAATGAGTACATGAGTGTATCACAGAACAGTGAAATAACATGTCCACTTCTCAACTGCCCAGATATGACCCCACAAATATGGCTCATGAGATAAGACTGAGCAACTTCTCTAAACTGTCATAAAAGTATACTAATTTCCTCTGAGGACCCTGATAATTGCTCTGAGAATTCCCTTTCTGTTTTTAGTTTCTCACAGTGCATATACATTTTATCAAAATTTTTATACAAATTCTGGTCTCATGAAAACTTTTACCTCTATACCTTCAGCATGTTTTTCCTGGCTGACATAAAATATCTGGTCGGATTTTGAGAGATGAAGGAAGAAAGAGATTGAAAGAGGACATCCCACAAGATTCAAAGGAACTGACATAATGATTGAAGGTGGTAACAGGAAGTGGGAATGGAAAGGATAGAAAGGGAAAAGCCTTAGAAAATTCTTAGTGTAAGAGATAGCAAGTTTCTCAAAGGGGCCACCAAAGTTACAAATTATCTTCAGGAAAATCAAACCTATAAGAAAGGACATAGTCAGATCTGACAGAACATTTAGTTATCAGGGGTTTAGGGAGCTGATTCAGAAATGCTTATTGGAGAAATAAGATGAAACATAGAGAAAGGGGATACCTCAATAATTTCAGAAAAGTAATTCCATTCTAGGGAGCTAGGTGCAATACCCACATTAATTAAAGAATTAAAGCCAGAAAGAATTTTCCTGTGCAGAGTCAATCCTAGAGTCAGCACAAATCCTTGCAAAAATGCAGGAGGAAAAACTTCCAGGCCAACAAATACTGAATTCAATGTCTTTACCAAAATTCATTTTGAAATTCAATCCCTACTGTGAGATATTGAAGGGATAAGATTTTATTCCCACTATGTCATTTGGAGGTGGGGTTTTTGGAAGTAATTAAGATGAAAAGAGGCAGTTACGTTGGTGCTTTAATTCAGTAGCAGTATGGCTTTATAGGAAGAGGAAAGGAACCTGAACTACAATGTTCTGTCTTCTGTATAGTAGTGATCAATGCTTTTGGAATCCCTGGAGTCCCCACCAGCAAAGACAGACCTCACAAGATGCAGCTACCCAATCTTTAACTTCCGGCTTTCAGAACCACGAGTTGAACCTTTTCACTTCATAAATTACTGTCAATGGCATTCAGTTCTAGTATCAAGAAAATAAATCAGAACAAGTACTTATCAAACAAAGTCCAGGTCTGTAGCCCAGCTTCAAAGTACACTCAAAATCATATCAATTAAAATCTATTCTCAGGGTGCTTCAGGAGACTCCAGAACAGTAGTTCAGGAGTAAGGTTTACCCATGGATGCTTTCATTAGTACAGTCAGAAGCGAAGGCAAAGGTTTAATTGGTGTCCTTTGGGGCTTTGGGAAAAAGGTTAAGCTTTTAAATGATGTATCTGATCCTATCCAAGTCACTGGCACCATAAATGCTAAAGCCAGAAAAATACACTTATAGTATCTGTTAAAGACAGTAAGAGGGACTGCATTCAGTATAGGACTTTCACAGCAGGCATGGGTACCACTATAGTGGTGTCTTTCAGTGAGAAAGAGAAATTGGGCTTGTCTCTAACATGACAAATGGAGGTTTATAGCTAAAGGGCAAGAGGTGGGAGCCACTTATTGGATATTAAGAAGTAGCAGGAATAAGAGATACTGTTGATAGAGTGAGCCAACAGGATTCTTGCTTAAAGAAGACCAGTAGGATCAGATATCTAGCATATCCAGCATGAGGAATTTGATCACACATCCAAGGGTGGTCAGAATCAATGGTATGGGATTTTCGGTAAACTGACAATAGGATTCAAATTCAAACTGAATTCTACAAGAATAGTTAGAGCATAAACTCAAGCCTACAATGTACGGCAGGCTCAAAGAAGTCTGATTAATGTTAGGACAGAAGAGTGGGCCTTTGCTATTTTCTTTTCTTCTTGGTATTTTCTACCTAATTCCAAGTGTTGCCAAGGATAATAGGAATGTACAGGTAGGACTATTTGCTTTGGGGGACAGGAAAATGCACCAGGAATACCAGTAATGGTTAAGATGAAATCCGAAGGGTGCATTCCAGACTTCTGGAAGGATCTCAGAAGAGCTTTTGGAGAAGAAATGTCATGAATATTTCAAAATCGAAAGGTTAGTAAAAATCTGGGGCTTTGATGGTTTTAATTTGCTGGGAGACGACTGCAGGGATCCTGAGCAGACTGAGAAAAATCACATAGTTGCTTTTCCCCTTCTTCTGTGGTCTGGTCTTTATTTTAAGGACAATAGTCAAGGGGCTGAAGGGGTTGAAAGAGGTCTTCAAGATCACTGTGGCTAGAGGTTAGAGACTGGAAAGCAGCAGTAATGTCTATCCAGGATCTAATTCAAAGGTTGAGGTGGTGGTCAACCCAAAGTGTGATACTGATTGAAACAAGGTGGTGGCAGCAGAGAACCAATGAGCTTCTTGAAATATGTGGGCCACTGTTAGAGAAATACAATGGAGAGTAAGCCATCTGAAGAGACCAGGGTTGAGAACTACACTCAGATTCCCAGCTAGTTTATGTGGCTGTTGGTGGAGTCATTTTCTGAGAGACAGAGCAAGAGAAGAAGGCCAGGGTGTGTGTAAGTGTGGGGGGGTTCGATTAGACACAGAAGAAGTTATCATCTAGCTCCCATCTTTCCAACCAAAGCAGTGACTAAAATTTTAGACAGCAGGAAATACATTCTACACAACTTCCCTGTGCACAGAAAAGGTGGGAAGAAGTTCCCAAATAATAAATGTTTCCCCCATTTAAAATACTGCAAATGGGCATTTCTCTACTCCGTTTATTTAAAAAAAAAAACAAGATGGACACCAGCGAGGGCCTCAGGGTAGTAACCACTGCAGTGATGCAGTGACGAAAGAGGGGTGCATTGTGACTTGGCTCAAGATATCCTTTGTGACCTGCTGGGGCCTGGCTCTGCCACTAGGGTGTTGGAAACCATCTGCCAGACAGATCTGGCTCCTGCTTGTGTCCAGAGAACAGATGAGTAGCTCACATTGGCCCAACTCTAACACTGCCCTAAGCGTCCCCATTATGGCTACCTCCACCACCTCAAAGCGACCAATCAAGGGGATTCTCAAAAATAAAAATTCATCAACTTCGGTGGAGGATTCTACCTAGTCATCGGGAAAATCTGGCACACGGGTACTGAAACTGAAGAAATCACAGAAGTGGGATGAATCCAATATACGAGCAACATACTATCTATCCTACAAAAACTATGATTTAATGAAAATGAACGAACCCAGCAACTCCTGTGTCAGTATGCCACACGATGGGGAAGACACCACGAGTGAAGGTCAAGGAAAGGAAGCCATGACACCCAACATCCTAGCAAAGTACCTGGCCGACGCTGACATATTTGGGACCAACAGAAAGAAGAAAGAAAGCAGCGGTGCGCACACGAGCAAATACTTCCTAGACCATCAAGAAAGGCGGCGGCAATTTAATTTGAAAAGGAAGCTCCATTCCAATGAGGGATTGACCATCAAATTAGCGAGACAATTTATTTCGGAAGAACTACAGTCAGAATTGGAGGAAGACAAAAACTAACCGTGTCTACATTAAAATCAATGAAGAAAAGACTGAAGAAGCTCCTACATCTGAACATCTAGGAATTCCATCATCCAACACATATAAGATCTGAGATTGCTGCTGCCGCTGCTTGTACCACCGCTGCTTCTTGCTTCTTCAGAGCTCGTGTTTTTAGGGTGAAACTGCTAAGCTTACCCACATTGTCATTTAATTGTGTGATAGTAATTAAATGGTAATCTTAATCTTAAACCTTGATAAATTTGGTGAAACGACATTTTGATGCTCTTGTGCTTTATTTTTCATGGCAAATTGTTATCTGCTTCCTTTTTAATTGAAAATTGTCTTGTGATATCTAGATTCATATTCAGTGGTGGGAAATAATAGAAATAGCACCCATGTATGCTTTATCTAGTAGATAATATACTGCAAATATTAATAGATTACAATGGTAATATATCAAAATATGGTAGTACAATAATACATTAGCATACAAATAGAACATTGCTGCAAGGATTCCCCAATTTTCCCTTTTTGTAGCCAAAAAAACTCTCCATTTCTAGAATTCTGTTATTTCAAAAGTGGTGATCAAGATATCTGAGACATTCAGTGGTACAGAGGCACAGCTGGGTGCAGGGTGATGATTTGTTCTTTACATTTCTAATAAGTGAGCACATATTGATCAACAGGAGGCAAGTGGAGGCACAGTTGCCTATGTTAGGGAAACACGAAAGAGGCACAGGTTCTTAAGTGGTCTGAATATAAGGTTCGTGGGAGGGGGGTGCCTGCGTGGTTTTGAAATGGTATTTGTGAAGGCCTTTGGTAGGATACACCTATCAAAAGATGGGCAAGAGATCTGGTTGGAGTACATACCCATTTCAGGGAGAAGTGTCCAGATGCCTGCAAAATGAATATCAGTCTTTCCAAGGAGAATGTTGTCTTCCCAGTTTCCTGTTGCCTGAATGTGAAGACAAAGGAAGGCTGGAGAGATGGCTCAACAGTTAAGGGTACCTATTGCTCTTGCAAGGAAGTGAATGGGGTTCCCGGTACCCATTACAGGCTGTTCACAGTTGCCTGTAACTCTCAGTCCAGAGGATCCAATGCCCTCTTCTGGCCTCTGTGGGCACTTGCATGCACTTGCACAACACCTCCCCCCACCCCCACCTCCCCACACATAATTAATAGTAAAAATAAAAAAATGACATCTTTAAAAAGACAAGGAGGTGGGGCTGGAAAGATGGTTCAGTTGTTAAGAGCACTGGCTGCTCTTGCAGAGGACCTGGGTTTGAATCCCATCGCCCACATGGCGGCTCATGACTGTTCATAAATCCAATTCCAGGGAATCTGACATCCTCTTCTGACCTCCATGGGCATTGCACAACACTGGTGCACTCTGGCAATACATGCATACACATGAAAATAATTTTTAAAAAGCTAAAGGGAATCCAGCCAGCCCATGGATCTGTTTCCACTCAAAGAAGACAATAATGCATTTCACACTGGGCTAGAGTATGAAGCAACAAAGGAGAGTATATAGGAATAAAGGTGAAACAACTGATAATGAATATATATGGGTGGGTAGAGGTAAGCAGACAGATGAAAATGTTGGAGGAAATAACACACGGGGTTATTAATAGGAGATATTAACTTGGAAATTCCTTTTCCATAAGGTTATGCTCATGTTACTGTCTCCCCAACACAATACCACACATCAGTGATTAGGAACATATGTGGACAAACAGAGACAAAAAGGCTAAAACGTCTAAAATCTAAATTTGGTGAAGAGTAGAACCAATCATTTATTATAGACATCTTGATCAAATTAGCACCACTATTTATAAAATCTGTAACTGGAAAATCCAATTCACACGCAACAGGATGCAACATTCAACGTACATTAAAGGATAGGCAAAAAAAGGCTGAGCTCTCAATCAATACTCACACTGGTTGGGCTTTAGCAATCTAAACTACCTGTGTGGAGGCTTTTGTGACGGGTTAAGTTTGCAGGCTGCAAAGGTCTGATAGAAACATATTTTTGTGTGTTAGTGTGTGATTCTCTCCCTCTCTCTCTCTCTCTCTCTCTCTCTCTCTCTCTCTCTCTCTCTCTCTGTATATGAGCAAGGGAAAAATTGCCTTGAACATTCTTACCAACCGGTATAAGCATAGTTCTCTAATACAAGATGATACATTATTAGCTCCTAAAAATTATAAAGAATTGCTACCGTTGTACAGGCAGAGCATTTTTGCATCACTGAACCTGCCTATGCATGCTGGATACTAAATAGCTTATTCTTCCAAGGAGCCTGCTTTCTTTCCATCTTTCCCCCTGTTTTAAAGCAGAGTCTTTGAAAGGTGCATATGAACCTGGTTTCCATAGCAATTGCAAGCATCAGTGATAACCCAGAGCTTCTAAGTTATAATATACAGGCTGCCCTATTAATGAGTTTCAAACTGCATTTCCAGGAGACAACAGCTCAGCCACTGATAGATAAGGTCAGATCACATCTTCAAACTTCAAATTAAATCAGGATAGATCAAAATGCAACAGAGGGAGGAGTGTCCTTTCGGGAAGTATGCTATTAAAAAATAAGCTCTTTGTAGACTCAAAACAGTCCCCTTTGTGGTTTGTAATGCCCAGATGGAAAAATTCTAAAACAGTCTCTTCTAGTTTATTAAGGGCAAATCATCATTTTCTCATATTATTTCTAAATGAATTTTTCCCCTCGTAGCTCTGACTCTGAGAAAACACACAATAATCAATTATTTGCCCCAAGAAGGGCAAGTATGATGTTTAATTCTAGCTTGGACTGGTGTAATACAAGTTCTATAATAATATTAAATTATTTATTAAAGAACTGCATATCAATAGTCTGTGCCTACTTTCAAGGAATTCCAAGTCTACTGGAGAGGTCAGCCATAGCACCCAGTCATTTCTACCCTGTGCAAGAGTGCTTACAATGGCCCATGAAAGACATTGTCAAAGGTCTTGAAGAATCTTTCATGGTTTTGATTTTTGAGGGAAATACCTAGAAAAGAAAGAAAAATAATTTAACCAAGTACAGACAGATGGACTGGGAAAGATTGTCATTATGGATATAGGTAAGAAGCAGGGACTGTGAAATGTCCTGTTGGGGAGAATGCATGGACTTAGAGAGGTAAGAAAGTCTAGGAAAGAATCCATGTATCACACAAAGGCAATAGTGGTCATTATTTTAAGCAGGAGTGACCTGATTGGACTTCTGTTTCTGAGAGATCACCATAGCTGAGGGTAAGGCCTTGAACCAAAAAAGATAAGAAAGACAAAAGTAGAGACAAGCTTGGTTCCAAAAAACTTAAGATTTTAACATGTAAGTGCTAAATGATTTACTTTGTACTTCACAAAGTCACACCCAGCTCTATACCAGTGCCAGGTACACAGTGGTTCCCAGATGAACTGCATCAGCATCCCTCAGTGGTTTGTAAAGAAGCCCAAATTCTCAAGCCACATCCCACATCTGCTGATTCAGCATCTCTAGGTCCCAGGTCCAGCAATCTGTACTTTAATACGCTTCTCAGGGGATTCTTCTGGATAATCAAGCTGGAGAACCATTGCCATACAGTATGACAATTTATTTGTCAGTTCAGCTCTGTGGGACAGATACCACATTTTCTTTCTACATATTTTTCATGTGTTCACAATTTTGCAAAAATATATCGAATTGCTGGGGCTGGAGAGATGTCTCAGTGGTTAAGGACACTGGCCACTCTTGCAAAGGATCCAGTTTCAAATCCCAGCACCCACATAGAAGCTAACAACCATTCCTAACTCCAGTTCTAGGGGGTACAACATTCTCTTCTGACCTCCACAGGTATTGCATCACATGGGTGCACTTACATACATGTGGGCAATATACACATAAAATAAAAATAGAATATTCATATATACATATTTGTACATATGACATATCTATATATGTCACTGAATTTCAGTACAGAACACAGGTTTCTTAAGAAATTTACACAAATGTGCTGGCAAGATGACTCAAAAAATGGTGAGAAATGGAAGGGCAGGGCAGAAGAGGGAGTATAGGAATCAATAACTAATACTAAAGGTCTCTTGAAAAAGTCATATGGAAACCTGCCATTATAGAAGCTTCTTAAAGTTAATACATAAAGAATAAAATAAAGATTAAAAGGAGTTACTCTATATCAGGATAACATTGCCCATACTAGACAACATAGGATAGCAAAGACAAAGCCCAATGCCAGGAATGGACTCTTTCCTTTGAAGTTCTTAACCAGGGATCCCATAAACCCACAAACAATATTGGCCATTGCACCTGATCTTGGTTACCCACCAGACCTTGATGGTAAGACCCTAACTCTGAAGATACTACATACATGGATTGAAGAACAAACAATGAGAAATCAAGCTTGTACTGACTTGAAGGCTTCATCTATACTGGCTAGCTTTCTTAGTTCTAGAGAGTGCTATGTATGCTACCTGAAGAGAAAAGTAAAAATAAGCCGTACCCAACTGTGAGTCCTGCAAGCTACAACAACTACTCTGGCAAGATATGTGCTCTGATGCAAAAACGGCACAGATATTATGAGAGTAACCAACCACTCTCTGATTGGGTTTACAGTCTGCTTTACAAGATGTAGACCATACTCTAGACAGGTCATAAATCATAGGGGAGTCATAATACTATTCTGCTAAGTAAATGTAGTATTAAATTGACTCCTAATGACTTATTGTCAAACCCATAGATTAATACATGTCTCAACTCTCACCAGAGAAACTTCCTCACGCAGCAGAGAGTGATTAATATAGAGACACAAATTGGACAGCATACAGAGAATAAGAAACTGCAGAGTGCTTATCTCTGAATAGGACACTTATATCAAACCCCTGCCACCCAAGGCTCAGGACTCATTCCAGAAGAGGGGGGCAGAAAGATTGTAAGAGCCAGAGATGGTGGATTATCACAAAGAACCAGAGTTTTCCAGGCAGCTGTGCAGTTGCTCATAAGAACTCACAGCAATGGTGGCAGCAT